TTTCTTAGAGCATTCCTCTGTATATTGATCAGAGTTTTTCTGGTTAAAAATTCTTTGGATCAAATCAAGCAGTAGTGGAAGCTGTTTCTTTCGTAAAATACTTTTTTTTAATGATGCATTACTTTTTTTTTTGTTGTTGTTGTTGACACCTTGACCTTTGGATTTCAGTTTAGCAAAACTTTAAAGAAAATGCTACAGTACTTTGCAGAATAAAAATCATAATTTGATCAGAACTCCTGGATAAATGATCTCATGTACTCAGGATGATGGTACCCATAAGTTTTACTATAACTGCCTGAACTCCCATAAAACATGAATTTAACATCATTTATTTTTTAAATAGGATCCATTTAACATCTTTGAGCTCTCCCTCAGATTCAATATGGGGTTTTTTTTTGCTTACAACTATGCTTAAATTCATCTTCTTGCTTCTACATTTTGTTTCCCTTCATATCCCTGCTGAAAAATCCATCTTTCCCACATTTTAGTATTAGCTTTGATAACATCATTGAGCTGCCTTTTGCTAGTGATAAATATCTTTAAAATTTGCCCTACTCACACTGATAAAACTCTCACAGGCTTATTGCTGAATTGCCAGTAGTGCTGATTTTCAACTTCAGTCCATTCTGATAAAGACAAAATAAAACAAATTGTGTCAAAAGAGAAGTCGGAGCGACCTACTTAAAACCAGTGAGTTACAAAGATACTGGGATATTTTTAAAACATGCTAAAAGCTGAAACTCGAATTTCTGGTGTGAATCAGACGATTTCAAATTTCCAGTGTCCTTCACAGGAGTAATCAAAGTAGTTTGGAACTTGCTGTTCCAGGATGGATTCCAGACAGCCCAGTGAAAAAAAAAAAAAAAAAAAAAAAAAAAAAAAAAAAAAAAAAAAAAAAAAAAAAAAAAAAAAAAAAAACCAAAAAAAAATTTGGGAAATTCTTGCAGCCTTTCCCAGGCAGTTCTGGTCCTACTTGTTCTGCTCTTATCCCTTTCATTTCCCATTCATTCCCTAATTTTTATCAGAACTCTGCAAAGTCTACTGCAGTTTTCCCAGCCTAAATCCAAACCTCTTGACCTTTAAAGAATGCCATAGCTTTTTCTCCTTCCTGAACCTCAAAAATCTTGGAAAATAGGACCTGGCCTCATTGCCTGTTCCTTGATTTCTTTCTTGGGACAATTATTTTCATCTGTTTAGAAGCACAGGCTTCTTGCCTTCAATTTTTACAGCTTTGGAAGTAACTGCTGAGTTCAGCCTCCTCCTTGGTGAAGGCAATGGGAAACTCTCAGCTGGCCTTGGTCACTCTGGGCACTGAGCAGGATGAGGGACCTCAATATTCAAACAGCAATTCTGCTCTATTTGCTCTTATTTCCTTCCCTTTCCTTTTGCCTTTATCCTTGCTTTAACTTTTTCTTTCTTCTCTTTTCCTTTCCACCCTTTTAGTTTCCCTTCCTATTGACAACTTGTAACATGATGATTTCACAGCTTTCTACAAATCTGAATACCAATATAACACTTAACAGAGGTACCCTAAAATAACTCAACCAA